CTGGCGGCGATTTCGCAACTCGATTTGAAAGATCTGCTTTCTGTGCTCACTACCATACCGTCTTTCTAATGCACCCATCAACGTTTCATAACTACTCGCCTCGCAGTTTGGAATGGTCTGTAATATCTGCGCTGCAGATCCTTTTAATGCCATGAACAATGCCGCTACTTTATCTTCAGCGTTCCAATTATTTGCCGATTTAATTGAGCTCGAGGAGACGATCTTTCAATTCATCCATTTCAGTTTTAATTTTATCCCGCTCTTACGAAATCTGTGAGGACGCTTCTGCTATTTGTGAGGTCCCCTGTGCTGATATACGTGCATCTTGCGCTGCGAACTGGTCTTCCAACTGTGTTGACAACCGAGTTTCTAACGAGGACAATTGGGATTGTTGTGTCAACATTTGTGATGACACCTCTGCTATTTGTTGGGTTATACGTGCATCCTGCTCTTTAAATTGTGTCGATATTTGCGTTGACATCTGAGACATACGTGTATTCTGCTCTCTCCCCATCTGCGATATTGCAGCAAAAATCATATTTATGTCCACCATCTTTGACGAGCATTGAGCAACTTCCTTTTCTTCTATCTTTGTTGTCTCTTCCTCTAATTCCATGTGAAAGACATATTCCTCAACATTAATGTTTTCCGCCTCCATGGCCTTTCTCAACCGTGATTGTAATTCAGTTTTTAATCCATTTGTCGCCAAACCACGTTGCTACAGCTCCTTTTTCAGTTAAGGGATCTTCAAATCGTTAAATTTGGCCATTTTCAAATAATTATCTCCTTAGGAATTTATTTGACAATTCCATTTCTGACACCAATTGTAACGGATTTCTCGATAAATCGTCTACCTGTAACTCACTCTTGAGTTCGATCACTGGATTGTTAAATTAAAGTTCCAATTTAATGGCTATACCCTATCTTTATTCCAACAACATAACAATTATTGCTCGATATTCGAGTTTACAACTTATTGGTTATAGCTTAATTGCTTTTTACGCGACAACATTCTAATTAGAACATTCTGGCAACTGCGAATTCGCTGTCTAGTTGCTTCTGGCAGTTTATCGTCGATTCTGATTTGTTCTGGTATTCGTGTTCGCCACAATATTAGTGGGAAATATCAATATTTGTGGGAAAGCAGATAAATCCAAATTAAATCTCGTCTTGAGGATATGTGTCATTATTTTGCCTTCGCGGTTTGCTAGAAACTAATGATTTATCAAGGGCTTATAGGCCATTTTCCAAAGGTTCCTTTAATGTTTCGCGTCCACTTTCACTTTGGTCTGCATCCTCCCTTTCATTTCTCAAACTTGCAAGGTTGAGGCAAGAGCTGAAGGATCTGTAAAGTATATTTTTTTAAACCGTCGAGTCAAGAACGATATAATACAAGATTTCGCCAACCGAAGAAGAAGAATAGAACACCTCAATTCCCACAACAGCCGGTTCTGCGATACCGGATTTTATCCGGCCAAGGGCTGTTATTTCGACGATCTTACCCTGTTTGGATCGGTGAGTTTTAGATTAAGCTTGTCGTCATTGGAGCAACGCCTAGCAGCAGGGTTGCTCCGTATCCTCCTGACCCGTGCTGGCATCGAGTCCAACCCGGGCCCCGAGGTATTCTACTGCTGCGTATGCGCAAAAAGGCTCCATCCAAATTCCACCTCGGTTAGGTGCAATACATGCAATGGATGGAGCCATCTTAAGACCTGCTCGGGCCTTAAGACACACAGGGAGTGGACCACGAGTTACGTGGCCCCATGCTGTCAACGCAATAATGCGACATCTGCCTCAACGGCCGTGCAACCTGCACCATGTTCGCGCACTGCGCTGCCACTCCAGTCGAGTGGCCAAGATAGGACCTCCACGGTCCTAAGGAGCTCACATAGACAGCATAACTCCCAATCTGACCAACCTCTCCCCCCCAACCTTCATCCAGCTCCAATCCTCGTGCGAGAACCACACAGCAACTCCTGGTTCCTCGCACAGTCTGTTCCGTGTGTCAGACCATAATACGCCGGAATGTCACATCAGTCAAGTGCAATTCTTGTACTGGCTGGTGTCAGTTTCTGTCGTGTTCTGGCCTGCGCACCACACGAGAGTGGAGTGCGTCGTATGTTGCCCCATGCTGTAGGAGTCTGCCCCCGCAATCACAAACAGTGGCGTCGCCAACCAACACCATAGTGCGACAACCGCCCATGCGGATAGCACAGCTGCAACAACCACCACCTACACGCACCCCACTCACCCTTAGGATCACGACTGGACACCCGCGACAAACGCGACTCTTACAATTTAACTGCAACGGACTCCAGAGCAAGATCGAGGAGATAGTTGCATTTATGAGCCGGGAGCGCGTAACGATAGCTGCGGTCCAAGAAACCAAGTTAAACAGCCGCTCAGATCTTCTGAGTTGTGCAGGTTTCAACGTTTTACGTAAGGATCGCGAGTGGGATAATGGTGGAGGCCTAGCCTTCATATTGCACAACACCGTGCAATATCGTCTAATCGATGTTGACATCGACCGCAGGGACACCACCCCAGAATGTCAGGGTATAGCTGTCCGGTCAGGCGATGTCGAGCTCGAAATATTTAATATATACATCCCCCCAGTTACATGTTGCCCAACAGGATATCACCCGAATATAGATGCGCTACTTCGTGGTGAAAACCGTCTGGTGCTAGGCGACTTTAACGCGCATCACGATCTTTGGCATTCCTGCCTGTCAAACGATCGTAGGGGATGGAGCTGGCGGAACAGATAGACGATTCGACATTCTGCACAATGAACGACGAAGCCCCCACCAGAATTATGGGCACCTGTAATAGCTCGCCAGATATTACCATCGCTAGCGGTGGTCTGATAAATAGTGTAACCTGGCGACCTATGCTAACTCTTGCATCAGACCATCTGCCCATAATTATCTCGATCGAGAAACCTCCTGACTTTATTTCTGTGGATAACCGCACCTATGTTAACTTTAACAAAGCTAACTGGGTCGGCTTCACAGAATTTACTGAGAGCACCTTCAACGCACTATCCATTCCTACGGACGTCATCGTTGGCGAGCGTCAATTCCGCAAGGTGATCGCTGCTGCTACAGCTCGCTTCATACCGGCTGGAAGAAAAGCGGAACTCCGCCCCAATTTCCCAGCCGAAGCAGCTGTATTAGCAAATGAGCGCGACACCTTGCGCCATGCCGATCCCTGTGATCCCCGAATAAGGGATCTCAATTTGGAGATTCGGCAAATGGTAAACCATCATAAGCGGACAAAATGGATAGAGCACCTGAAGTCCTGCAACCTCTCCACCGGTGTGAGTAAGCTTTGCACTACTGTCACGGCCCTGTCAAATCCGAGGAAACATGACGATCGGGTTGAAATTCAATTCGATGGCCATGCCTCCTCGGACCCGAAGAAGTGTGCGAGCTACTTTAGCCGGCAGTTTATACTGCACCCTTCGACCGACAAGGCCAAACGATGTGTTACCCGACGGCTGCGCAAAATGCCAAAAGACTGCGCACCACTTACTGTCACCGATGGGGAGGTTCAGAGTGTCATCAAAAAGGCGAAATCGTCTAATTCCATCGGCCCTGACGGAATAAGCATGCTGATGTTAAAACATCTAGGCCCAACGGGAGTAAACTACCTCACCAAGGTCCTCAACCTGTCGATATCCACTCTTCAAATACCCGATGTGTGGAAAGTCGGAAGAGTGGTCCCACTGCTGAAACCTGGGAAACCCGCCAACAAAGGGGAGTCTTATCGCCCGATAACTCTCCTTTCCCCAGTAGTGAAGACGCTTGAGGCCTTGTTACTCCCGTCATTCACCCACCACCTGAGCCTAGCAGACCATCAGCATGGCTTCCGTAAAGTGCACAGTACCACCACAGCACTTAGCGTCATAAACGCCCAGATAGTTCATGGCCTGAACCAGAAGCCACCCTACGAGAGGACGATCCTCGTAGCGTTGGACTTGTCAAAAGCTTTTGACACAGTCAATCACGCAACGCTACTTGAGGACCTGGAACAATCAACGCTCCCTCCAGGGCTGAAGCGGTGGACCATGAACTACCTGAGCGGTCGACACTCATCCGTACTATTTCGAGGTCAAAACTCCAAACTCAGGAAAATTAAACAGGGGGTTCCGCAGGGCGGTGTCCTCTCCCCGCTACTGTTTAATTTCTACATTTCAAAACTCCCCCAGCCACCAGCGGGAATTTCAATGACCTCGTACGCAGATGACTGTACGATATTGACGTCGGGCAATGGAATCGATGGCATGTGTTCAAAAGTAAACGGCTACCTCTCCAATCTTTCTCGCTTCTTTTCTGCAAGGAACCTAACACTCTCCCCCACTAAATCCACAGCGACCATCTTCACCAATTGGACGAAGGAGTACAGACTGGACCTGAACATTTCAGTCGATGGCACAAAAATTCCGACAGTAAATAACCCTAAAATTTTAGGCGTCACTTTGGACAGTCTGTGCTCTTTCACTCCTCATACGACCGCGATAACTGCCAAAGTACAGAGCCGCAACAAAATCCTCAAGTCGCTTGCCGGCAGCTCATGGGGAAAAGACAAAGAAACGTTGTTGGCAACATACAAGGCAATCGGCCGGCCGGTCCTCAATTATGCAGCCGCAATATGGTCGCCTGGATGCAGTGACACGCAGAATAAGATGCTTCAGACTTGTCAGAACACTGCACTCCGGACTATCACGGGGTGCCTCTTGATGTCCCCAATCGAACACCTACATAGCGAGGCCCGTATGCTTCCGGTTAAGGAACATAACGAGCTCCTCTCCAAGCAGTTTCTGCTGGGATGTTTTCGCAGAAACCACCCCTTCAGGCGCCTGCTTGCAGCGGAGCAGCCTCCTAGGAACATCAAGAGGTCCTTCCTTGACTACGTCGACGACATCAGACAGCACGCCGACCAGACTTCGGACGCAACTAACTTCAGACAGGCACTGACCGCCATTCACAGTGGAGCCATTAACACCTTCACCGACTCCCTTTCAGTGCGTAATACGAGTCAAACCACCACCCATTGCAGACACAGAGCTCGAGTTGCCTCGCGAATCTAGAGTGACCCTCGCGCAACTTCGTTTTGGATACTGTAGCAGGTTAAACTCCTACCTATCCAGAATAGACCCTGACGTACCAAACACATGTCCTGCATGCAATGAGTCTCCGCATGACACTAACCACCTCTTTGCATGCCCAACAAACCCCACTCATCTAACACCCCTCTACCTATGGTCCGACCCCGTCGAAACAGCTCGTTTCCTGGGCCTTCCGTTAGATGACCTCGACGACAACGAATCTAGAATTTATCACCCAAACGGGGATTAGATAATCGTTACAACAACAACAATAGAACACCTAGTGAATTGTAAACAATAACGTAAACATTTTTGTTAATTCGGGAAAAAAACTTAATATATTAGTTAATAGTGAAACATTTTTGGTGAAATAAATAGATCAATGTTATATTAAAATACTTTGCTTAAGTTTTATAAATACTTTTATCTATTGATAACATAACTGACAATGAATTGATGATTATGATTGCGATCCATCCAGTTTATGCAATTATACACAAATATATACTATATTAATAACAGTTTTGATGTACTTAAGTGAAAGTATATTGAAAGATTCTGAAGTTATAATTATTATGACTATGAAATTAATTTTATATATCCCAAGAAAAACTGGATAAACTTGCTTCTTAATAGTTATTGCAACTCGCCACTGCACACTTCATTTTTCAAAATCAATATATTTTATGCTTATGAAATTAAATAAATACAATCTTCGCAATCATAATTCCTTTTAGCCACTTAGTTAATTGGCGGTGGGGGAGTGTTTTTACTTAAAAATTATACAAATTTTTTCAAGCAAAAGTAACTAAAGTAATACGTTTTTGTCCACAATTTACATGCTGTTCTAAGCTTCTTCTCAACTCAAAAGAATTACGTCACAAAATGGCGGCATAGTGAAATTAGTTTTTGTTTAATTGTCACAGACTAAACCGAAAAAATTAACGGTAAATCATTGTCGTAATCTTGTATTCTATCATCATTGATGCTCTTCTTGTTCTCAAGCTTCGGCATAAATACAAATATAATTAAAGTTTTACTTGTCTCTCATTGAACACACCTAACAGAGTTGATTGAGTAATTTTACATCAATTAATTAATTACTTAATTGTATGGAAAATTGTTTACAAATAGAGATTAAGCTATGAAACTTATTTTAATTGTTTATTAAGAAGTCAGTTTTGAAATATAAGTTTAAAAGAAATCGTATTATTTAAAATCTGCAATTTTGACTGCGACATCTACAGTGCTTCTAAAAGTTTCTAGAACGAAACTTTCCTTTAGGAAATTTCCAGTATTGAACGACAATAAAAAGAGAAGGTGAAAACCAGCATTTAGTACTCAATAAAACACGCTGAGGAAAAGTGTCATCATTGGAAAAGCAATATCGTGGTAAAATATATATACACGTATACTATTTAATATAGTGAAAAATCAAATTCATAAAAAGGTATTTAAAATTACTATATCAACGATGAGAAAAATAAATTAAGTTTGATTGTAAAATGTGAGCTGTGTAAGAAATTAAAGCTGAGATAAAGAGCAATGATAGAGGTGAATGAGAAAAGATATATCCAAATATTGAAAATTTGTAGTTCATCAAAATTGAAAGCACTGTTTGTTTTAATTCCTAGTATTAAGTGAACATTAATCGTCCTTAATGAATTAAACCACTAAAGTATATCAGAGAAATAATTTAATGTTATAATTTGATATAAGTATATAGAAATATAACAGGTTAGTAACAAGCTTTTAGTCCGGTGCAAACTTTTCATTTCGTTATCCACATGTTCGGTTTGGGGCGACCTATTAGTTCAGAGTGTTTAATCGCGTGGTGGTGGATGAGAATTAGGCTTGTCGAAATTGGGTTGAAACTTCTGCAAAGAACAAATTGTAAATATTCATCCGTTTCTCCAGCTATTTTATATATTTTTTTTTTTACTAAAAACTTACAGAAATTGAACATTTCCCTGTGATTTTTCTTCTATTGTCAGAAATATAGAATTTGTGAGACATTGTGCTGAAAGGAAAACAAGCAGTAAATCTTTCAAAGGAAGAAAAGGCAATATACTTTTAACGACGGTCCTACACTCGAATAGAAGTTAATAGAAAAGTAATTGAGATATCTGAAATAAAGCAGTGAAGAAATGTCTGTGATTGGAATCGATTTTGGCAATGAGTCTTGCTATGTTGCTGCCGCCAAGGCCGGTGGTATTGAAACCCTCGCAAATGACTACAGTTTGCGTGCAACACCGTAAGTAGAATATTTATTTTCTTGTAACATTAAGGAATATCACATTGTACAAAATAAATGCATGTTAAAATTCTAAATTTTGAGGTTATGTTTGTTTCTCTTATCGCTGTACTCTGTCTGTGACGAAAAAACAATATATATAAGCGAACGTAAAATCGCCTAGAAAAAGAACAAGTCGGCCAAAGAGTGTTGGTTTTATTTGCAATATTTAAAAGTAACAAAATTTTTTGGCTACATTTTTAATAGAATAACTTCTGGATTAAAAAAAAAATCGTATATACGCAAATATCTATTTACCCTATTAACATGCATTGTTTAATAATATCAAATAATAACCTTTTATTGTTAAATCAACTTTTTTCCACCAATCAGTAAATATCATACCAATTGAAAACCGTACTTGAATAGTGACGAGTATGTCTTCATGAGGCGTGTACACCGTCTACACCATAATTGATGGAGTATGTATGATAGAAAAACTTATTCGACTATTTTGTTTATGAAAACACCCCTGCTAGCACCTTCTAGATACAACGCTAGTCGGCAGTTCCAGTCCACTAAGGGTACTATAACTACGGTACGATAACCCCGTTAAAGATTTAACAAACAATACACACGCCAACCCATATAATGACGAAACGACTCATTTTCTAAATATAATTTCACTTCAATTTGATTTGATTTTATATAATGTTTGTTGTTGTAGCGTCAGAATTCTGTTGGGTTGACAGTCTATGGCCGGATAAAATCCGTGTCCATTCCGGTTACGTAGACCCAAACCTGGGAACGGACCTCTTGATGTTCCTAGGAGGCGGTTACGCTTCAAGCAGACGACTGGAGGCGTGATTTCAGCGAAAACATCCCAGCAGAAACTGCTTGGAGAGGAGCTCGTTATGTTCCTTAACCGGAATAATAAGGGCCTCACTGTGCATGTGTTCTATTGGGGACGTCAAGAGACATCCCGTGATAGTCCGGAGTGCAGTGTTTTGACAAGTCTGAAGCTTCTTCGTCTGCGATGCACTACATCCAGGCGACCATATTCGTGATGCATAGTTTAGGACCGGCCGGCCGATTGCCTTGCATGTTGCCAACAACGTTTCTTTGTCTTTTCCCCAAGAGCTGTCGGCAAGCTATTTGAGGATTTTGTTGCGGGTCTTCACTTTCGCAGTTATCGCGGTCGTGTAAGGACTGAAGGAGCACAGGCTGCCGAACGTAACGCCTAAAATTTTAGGTTTGTTGACTGTGGGAACTTTAATGTCGACCGCTCAGTTAGTTCATAGTTCACCGCCTCAGCCCTGGACGGAGTCCTCTCGCAGGGTGGTTTCTGGTTTACGCCATGAACTATCTGGGCGTTTATGACGCTAAGTGCTGGGGTGGTGCTGTGCCTTTTTCGGAAGCCATGCTGATGCTCTGCTAGATTTAGGTGGTGAGTGAATGTCGGGAGTAGCAAGGCCTCAAGTGTCTTCACTACAGGGGAAAGGAGAGTTATCGGACGATAAGACTCCCCTTTGTTGGCGGGTTTTCCAGGTTTTAGTAGTGGGACCACTCTACCGACTTTTCACACATCGGGTATTTGAAGAGTGGACATCGACAAGTTGAGAACCTTGATGAGGTAGCTTACTCCCGTCGAGCCTAGATGTTTTAGCATCGGCATGCTAATGGATTTAGACCATTTGGTTTTTTAATGACACTCTGAACATCCCCATCGGTGAAAGTAAGTGGTGCGCAATCTTTTGGCATTTTGCGCAACCGTCGGGTAACACATTGTTTGGTCTTGTCGATCGAAGGGTGCAGTGTAGACTGCCGGCTAAAACAGCTCGCGCACTTCTTCGGGTTCGAGGAGGAATGGCCATCGAATTGAATTTAAACCCGGTCGTCATGTTTCTTCGGATTAGACAAGGCCTCGACAGTAGTCCAAAGCTTACTTACACCAGTGGAGCAATTGCAGGACTTCCGTTGCTCTATCCACTTTGTCCGCTTATGTTTATTTACCATTTGCCGAATCTCCAAATTGAGATCCCGGCATGGCGTAAGGTGTCGCGTTCGTTTTGTAATACAGCTGCTTCGGTTGGGAAATTAGGGCGGAGTTCCGCGACTTTTCCAACCGGTATGAAGCGAGCAGTAGCAGCTTATTAAGATATCTTACATATTAACTGATGGTTGCGGTGTAAAGTAAAACGGAAGTTCGAAAATATTTATATTACGTGTATGGGCTAAGAGAAGTATTGACCCGATTTTACCCATTTTTGGCGCAAGGGTATATTATTATCAAAGAAACATTTTTCCCGAACTTCAACAATATATCCTACAGATTGACTGATATCTTAGGCAAAAAGTTAGATATATGCATTGGTGTCCGCATATTTGATGTCTTGGTGCTGGAAAAGTTATACCACGATTTGGATTTTTGGGCGTTAGATTAAATACCTTGAGGACACTTTATGTGCAATTTTACCCTAATAACTGCATTGTTGTTTGATTTGAATACTGCAAAGTGAAAGAATCATATACAATTTAAAAGTTTGTTATATGGGAAGTAGGCGTGGTGTTCAACCGCTTTCACGCATTTTCACAGTGTATGAAAGAAATGATTAAGTAACCTTTCACACCGAATTGAATTGAAAATGGTCCAGTAGTTCCTGAGATATAGGATTTCACCTAAAAGTGGGCGGTGCCACGCCTAAAGTCCAATTTTTACGTCGGCTCCCATAAAGTCCTTTCCTGTCATCCTGGCTGTGCAATTTTATGTTTGTGAGATTTTATCTTATCCTTATATTTTTTCAAATAATGCTAAAAAGTAGTCGATTGTGCGTAAAGTGCCGACTCGAGATGAAAGGGCGGAAAAATGCACAATGGTGCGTACTTTTCCTTTACTGATACAGACCATAGTGTACGAGAACAAGAAAATAAACGAGATGTCGTCATCTTGAGCAGGCCTTTTCTCTTATAAGTATGTAAGGCATATGTTCTGAATATATGTATGTATGTATGTTAGATCTAATAACTTTTATTGCATAAAAAAGAAATGCTGGTGTTAAAACATACATACATACATATATTCAGAACATATGCCTTACATACTTATTACTACTGTTATTTTTGGTAAATTTTAGAATAGCATTCTCTGAAGTCGTGGGTTTGTACTAATAGAGAAGGTTCTTCAGATTAAGAAATATATACATTTGGCTGCCGCTGACTTATGGTTTTTGAGATTTAAAATAATCTCGAATTCGTGGGATGCTATTCCAAATCCCAGTCGTTATTTTTTCTATTATTTTTCGAAAGTTATAAGTATCTAGGCACCTTGTTAACTTCGGTAAATAAGTGAACCTCAATGCTTACATTTTTTACATAACAAGGAAAAATACTTAGAATAGAATTAGAATTTGTGTTCATATTTACAATTTAATATAAAGTATAGTTTAAATTCCCTTTCCTCTTTTCAGTTCTTTTGTGGCTTTCGATGGAAAGAAGCGTATTATTGGTGTGGCTGCTAAAAATCAACAAGTCACAAATATGAAAAATACAGTGAGTGGTTTCAAGTGTTTGTTGGGACGTAAATTCAACGATCCACACGTGCAACGAGAACTTAGCAGCATTCCAACGAAAGTGGATCAACGTCCTGATGGCAGCATTGGTTACAAAGTTAACTACTTGGATCAGGAACAGTACTTTTCCCCCGAACAACTGACAGCAATGCTATTCACTAAATTAAAGGAAACATCGACAACTGCTCTGCAAGCACAGGTATGTGTTGTCTCTCTTTTATTTAAAGTTGTGAATTTCACCTTCGTGGGTTTATTATTTGAAATTAGGTTAATGACTGCGTAATCACTTGCCCAGCATACTTCAGTAACTCGGAGCGTAAAGCATTGTTAGATGCTGCTCAAATTGCAGGTCTAAATGTTTTGCGTCTTATGAACGAAACGACAGCAACGGCGCTCTCATATGGTTTTTATAAGCAAGATTTACCTGACGAAAGTAAACCACGCAATGTTGTATTCGTTGATTGCGGCAATTCTTCACTTCAAGTCAGTGTGTGCGCTTTTACCAAAGGTAAATTGAAAATGCTTGCTAGTGCATGGGATCAGATTGGAGGACGCGACTTCGACAGTGTGTTGGCAGAACATTTTGCCAAAGAGTTCTACGATCGTTATAAGCTGAATGCCAAGACAAATCCTCGTGCTTATTTACGTTTGCTTACTGAAATTGAGAAATTGAAAAAGCAAATGTCTGCGAACAGTACAAAACTGCCTATAAATATTGAATGCTTTATGGATGATGTTGATGTTTCTTCGTCAATGCAACGTTCCCAGATGGAGGATTTAAGTGCTCATCTGTTTAAACGAGTGGAGATGACGTTCGTTAAACTGTTACAAGATTCCAAATTGTCGCTGGATGACATACACTCAGTTGAAGTTGTCGGTGGTACTACTCGTATCCCGGCCATAAAGCAACTTATTGAACAGGTAATAAACCAAGCCGAAGTGACGGTTACAATTCATTGATATTCAAATATTACTTATTTATATATAAACAAACGTTTAGGTATTCGGGAAACCTGCTAGAACCACATTGAATCAGGATGAGTCCGTTTCACGCGGTGCCGCATTGCAATGTGCAATAATGTCACCAGCAGTTCGTGTCCGCGAATTTGGTGTAACCGATATCCAGAATTACGCTGTTAAAGTGAGTTGGGATGGTGAGGGTTCTCAAGCTGGTGGTGAAATCGAAGTATTCCCAGCCTTCCATTCAGCCCCGTTCAGTCGCTTACTTACACTGAACCGAAAAGAACCCTTCTCCATGACTGTGCAATATGCACAAGCTATACCCTTTCCAGATCCAGTTATCGGAAAATGGTTTATTAAAGATGTTAAACCTAACGAACGTGGCGAGCATCAGGAAGTTAAAGTGAAAGTCCGTATCAATCACCACGGTCTGGTATTGATTTCTAGTGCTTCTCTTGTTGACAAAAAAGAAGAAGAATCTTCTAATGCTGGTGTTACTGCCGGCGAGCAAAATTTAGCACCCAGCAGTGATGAAAAGGGTAATGCTGGTGATCAACAACAGCAAACTGGTAACGGTGGTGAACCTATGGATGTTCAGCAAGAGGTGAGTTCAAGTGTTGTAAAACAAGAAGAACTGTTTATTTGGACATTTGTGTATATCATAGTGCTTTTAACGATAAAAACCATCATATCCGAATGAGTAGTTTCCCTGTAGTTTGTTGCAATTAAATATAATAAGATATTCCAATCAAAATCAATTAACGTATTGTATATATGTAAATAATAAGTACAGTTCCAAAATAACCATTGATGGAAAAACTATTTCACGGCATATAAAGTTGATCGTAAAATTATTTGTATATAATTGTAAGAGAGGTATATAAGCGCGGATACTTATTTTTATATTTTTCTTATGAAGTCTTCACAGATTGCGTGAAATCCTCTCTGCGAATAGCGAATAGCAATACTAATAGTAATTGCAAGAATTTGAGTGATAACTACTGTTAATCACTGAGCGCTGCTTTTCTTAAAAGGTGGTTGACTTTTTTGAATTAAGCATTAACATTTTAATAATTCTATGGCATTGTCCAAAATTGGAAATAAATATTTAATTTTTTTTAGACAGATCTTGTTTTTTTAATTAATGCACAAGGGTTCAAATTATGTTTTGAATCTGTAAAGATACTTAACGGTTGTAAATAAAAAAAGAGCGTTAGTTGTACATTTTCCTTTTTTCATCAAATAGTTCACACCGTCACCCATACATATATATGGTTGTATTGATAGTCCAAAAATAAAAACTTTTCAAAAGTAATAGCATCCATACTGTCAAAATCAGCCGTTTTGCCTTGTGCTGTTTTGATTTTATGATTCAAAAATAAAATTTTCAAAGATTTCAACCAAGGAAAATGGGTTTTTGAGTGATAACTGAATACAAATAGATTGTAAATCACACATCATTAAAATATAAGGAAAAAAATCATGAGATATTTCTCATCATGATTACTTTCTAATAAAATGACAAACGCTATTAAAATTCAGTTTTCGGCTTGGTTTCTAGCATGATTCAATTATATAAGGTTGTGACGATACGGAGTAGAGCTACAAAACTATTTATTGACGGACCACTTGGTAGTTTTGCCCCTTGAAATCTACTTATTTTTCGCTGGTTTAAATAAAGAGACCTTATCTTTGTACACATAATTTTTATGAAATAATCTTTGCATTTATTGATAAAACAATGACGGAAAACACAAAAAAAAATTAATAAAGGTACATTTACAATTTTTTTCATGTTACTATGAGTATATAAACTGCTAGAGAATTATAAAAAGGTAAATTTTTTATACATTTACTAATGTAATATGAGATCAAGATATCTTTAAAATACGTTTCGGGAGAGTACTTTATTCCTCAATAATCCACTTGTTTTTGTTTAAAAATTGTCATTTGTTGACATTTTTAGCCTTTAGTGCTGTTCGCCTATCAGATATTAGCAACCCAGCCTAGCTAAACATTCTCTCCGACTCTGTAAAATTAAATTTAATTAACGTGATATTCGGTTATACGCACTGTAGGCAGACTAATTAATACCTTTGGGTGTATGTTGAGTATGTATATATCCAAGTATTATGAAATTCGATCACTAGAGACTGTTCACAAAATGTGTTTCAATTTCATAATTTTATTCCCCAAAATCAGAAGTACTAAATAAAATAGAGGTTTCTTTACCGTGGCGTCAAAAATTCTGTATTGCGACTGCATGTATCAATAACTGAGGTTATGTGCAGCCGCAATTTCAGATCATTAGAAATTCTTACCTAATTGTAAATGTTTCTGCATTATTCCTTCTAACGCATCCAATACCTAACTAAAGTGTAAAAAATAGTTAAATTTAATAAATTGTATATTATTTTAAAGTAGTTGTCGCTGTAGTTACGAACTTGAAATCACATGCGGGAACCAAGTAGTAGTAGTAGTATTCCGTTTACATAGGTAGGTAGGTAGAGTGACTGTCTAACGACGCACCTAGGCCTATAGGAGGCCCATTGTAATACCACCGGGACTAATGTTCCCTCACTGAACTAACCCTTTCCCACTACTCTCTGTAGTGAAGGCAACATTGTGGACGGAATTTAGCTTCAATTCTATTGGATTGCAGAAATCCGTGGTTTTGGGTAGAAACGGGAACGATCTAAGTATTCTAGAATGCCCCTTGTTGCAGGCGACTAATTGGGAGGATTCCCTTAGTCTGAGAGCAGACTTTGCTGCCACTTGCTTACAGAACAGGTCTGTTGGCAATAAATGTAGAATGACGTTTAGTGCCTGGCTAGGCGTTGTTCTAAGAGCTCCACTAATGCATATACTGGCTGCTCTTTGTATACTTTCCATACGCTTCACCGCGTATTTCTTATCCATTATTGGCCACCATACCAATATACCGTATGTCATGATTGGGCTGACAACTGCTGTATAGAGCCAATAAGCTATCCGAGGCGTTAGCCCCGATTTGGGGCCCACCATCCTTTTACAAGTGTAGAGTGCTGTGGCTGCTTTCTTCACCCTAGCATCCAAGCTTTGTTTCCATGAAAGCTTCCTGTCTAAGATTAGTCCTAGGTAGCTTGCCTTATCTCCAATTGTTAGTTCGCAACAATTTAGTACTGGCGCCGTAACTACTGGAGTGTTATGCTTTCTGGTAAACAATACTAGCTCTGTCTTGCCGGCATTTAAGTTTAATCCGCACGATACAGCCCAACGGTTTATATCGTCCAGGATCGTTTGCATAAGGTTTGCGAGAGTATTAGGGAATTTTCCTCTAACCGATACTGCCACATCGTCAGCATAGGCCACAACATGTACCCCCTTCTTCTCTAGATCCCACAACAACTTATTCATTGTCAGGATCCAGAGAAGTGGGGATAACACGCCTCCCTGGGGTGTACCCCTTTGGACGAATCTGCACATCGTTGACGCTCCCAGCTTTGAAATTATTGACCTGCATCTGCTCAATTAATTTTCTGAGAGGTTCAGAGATGTCCAGATCCTTAAGCGCACTCAGTATGGCCCTAGGCTGGATATTATTGAAGGCTCCTTCTATGTCTAAGAAGGCAAATAGAGTGTATTCTTTGACTTCCAGAGATTTTTCAATCTCCGCCACCACAGAGCTTAGCGCTGTTTCTGTGGATTTTCCTTTAGAATACGTGTGCTGTGAACCAGCCAACTTGTCTGGTTTTAGTTTGTTTCTTATGTAGTTCTATTAGCCTTTCCAACGTTTTTAGAAGGAACGAGGAGAGACTAATAGGTCTGAAGTCCTTTGGATTTGTATGCGAGCTTTTGCCTGCCTTAGGTATGTATATTACCTTGACTTTCCTCGAAAGCGAAGGGATATAGTTTAATTGCAGCGCCCCCTTAAGAATGGTAACTAGCCAATCCATTATGTAATTCTGCGACTGCTGTAATTGAGCCGGAAATAGACCATCTGGTCCCGGCAACTTGAAGGGCTTGAAGCTATTTATTGCCCAGCGTACGTTGCTTTCTGACACTGTGTTTATAAGAGTGGAGTCTATTTCTGCTCCACTGTCTTGAGTATATGCAAGAGTATGGATTTCAGGGCCACCTGGGAAGTGGGTATCCATTAGTAGTTCCAGTGACTCTTCACTGGATACCGTCCAACCCGTCCAACTGCCGTCTGGCTTCTGAAAATAACCGATACTATGCACAGATTGTGCCATTATTTTCTTAAGTCGAGACGCTTCCGCCGTGTTCTCGATATCACTACAAAAAGATTTCCCAGAATTTCTTTTTGCTCTCCTAACTTCCTTCTTGTATGACCTAAGGAGGTTGTACTAATAATCCCAGGCTGACTCGCCTTGGGATTGCTTAGCTAAATTGAACTGATTTCTGCATTCTTTCTGTAACTTTTTAAGTTCGAGAGACCACCAGGGTGGCCTAATTCTACCTCTACTTCGTGTTATTGGACAAGCCACTTCTAATGCTTGCCGGCAATATTCAGTGAATTGATCAGCGAGGATGTCGAGATCCTCCTTACTATTGGGCTGAAACGGCTGAATCATAGGAAAACGTTTTTCCAGCTCTTGCATGTGCACCTGCCAGTTCGTTTTCCTATGATTCCTGAAGTCCATGCTTCTATCGGCCCTTTATTTTAATATACATTCAATATATCGGTGATCCGAAAAGGAATGTTCTTCGAGGACTCTCCATTGGGTTGCCCTGTCAAATAGTACTTCCGACACAAGTGTGATATCCAGTACTTCTTGTCGGTTTCATGTAATAAATGTTGGCATACTTCCCTTATTACACAACAGTAGCTTAGTGCCTATTAGGTAATTGAAGAGACACTTACCTTTGTCGTTGACATCTGAGCTGCCCCAGACTGTGTGATGCGCGTTTGAGTCGCATCCAAGTATGATCATGCACTTGGATGCCTCGCTCCTTTAACACCTCTTTTACCATCAGAAGGGCACCAGCTCCTCCTCGTACGGCATATAGCACGACACCAGCCGATAACTGCATGTGCTCGTTTCCCAGCTTACTGCTACTGTGTCGTTGTTGCTGTAATGATGTAATATAAAAACGTTAAGGTTTTTCTTTGCCATTATGCAGGCTCTGATTTTACCTTGACTATTAGCCATAAATAAATTATAGCTCGGTGTCCTCAGTCCGCAAATACGCCCTCCATTAACACATGGCTCCTGAATGAGGACAAACTCAGGCTGTTCTATTGCCACGCGGTTAATTAGTATACAAGTTTAAGAGTCTGGCAGCAAGCTCAGACTCGGAAGAACACTTACCTTGCTATATACTTTCTACATCGATCGAGGACTCCATAGGATCTTCCTCTGTATCGTCAAATGCCTTGACAAACTTCCACCCCTCCGTACGCAGACTCGGGTTGCAGGCTCTTATGAGCTGCATAATCTGATCCGGCTGTGATGGTGTAGCCGGGATCCATACCCTTGCCCTTGGTCTGGATGGTATGTCTTTTTTATCCACTGCTATCAGTTTTGCGCCCGGGTATACCTCCCCTACCTTGGCTATAGCAGCTTTGTATAGTGCGACCGATCTCTCGTCATCGCATGCAAT